CCTGGTTTCCCAGTTTCCTCACTCAGCTGCAACTCTGACCAGCAATTCCAGCCACAGCCGGGGGCAGGGACAGATATTGCCCCCAGGAACACTGGCCATCTTGTTTTTGATTGTGATGACTTGGGGGAGGAGAGGGGAGGTGCTCCTGGCTGTGGTGGGAGAGGCCAGGATGCTGCTAAATGTCCTGCAGCACATGGGACAGCCTGCAGGACGAAGATCCCCCTTCAAAGGTCCAGCTTCACGCTCAGAGCCCTGGACAACCTCCAGGGTTGATCCGCCCCACATTACAGAAAGCCCAGTGCTGGGGCAGTGGCTCAGGGATGCCACCCAGGAGCCAGGCTTCTCTCTTCCTGCTCTGCCAGTCTTGGCAGTGGCTGTTGTACCTCGCCAAGAAGTGGGGCAGGAAGAATGTGGAGGGTGAAGAGATAGAGGGAAGGCCTCCCGGGATCCTCTGTGGACATCTCATTGGCCACACCTGACACATGACTAACCCTAGCTGCAGGGGAGGCTGGGTATCAGGTACTTGAGTTCTTCAGCCTCTCTACTAGAGCAAAAAGGGGGTTTGGGGTGGTGCTGTGTATACTTAAGAGACATGCATCCACCCTCCCCTGATACGGCTTCCAGCCTAGCAGGTTGAGTGATAGGTGACAAGCCAGGTGACTTCAGACCTGTGCTATTGAGGGAATATAGGTGGGTCCAGGGAGAGTATTGTTAGGTGGAGGACATTTAGAATGGTGGCGCAGGGCTTCCCTGAGGTGCAGTCAATCATACTGAGCCCTGGAGGATGAGAAGGAGCCAGTGATGCTGGAGGCCGCGGGTGGAGGCAGGTGAGCATTCACAGCAGAGGGAAGATCATGTGCAATGTCTGCAGGGGAGAGTGGCGTGAGGAGCGGCCACAGAGGTAGGCGGTCAGCTCTCGAGCCGCTGTGGACCAGGGTAAAAAGCACCAAGGAAATCAGTTTTATTGTTTTAAATAAGAGAAGATGTGGTTTCTGTTTCTAAGTCATCTGGCTGCTGTGAAAGTCTTTAGACTTGAAATGTCTGGGTGGGGATCTCTGTGCCCGTCACCTTGTGTCCATATCAGCCCTTTGGGGATCATTAGGACGTCTTTTGGGTCCATGAAACTCTCTATCTCTCTCCCTTCCTCTTTGTAGAAGATCAATAAAATATATTAAAATAAAAAAGCACCAAGGAAATCACTTTCATTGTTTTAAGAGAAGACGTGGTTTCTGTTTCTAAGTCATCTGGCTTCTGTGAAAGTGTTTAGACTGGAACTGTCTGGGTGGGGATCTCTGTGCCCTTCACCTTCTGTCCATATCAGGCCTTTGGGAAACGTTAGGACGTCCTTTGGGTCCATGATGAAATGGGCATTCCAGGCCTACACTTTAGGTCTCCAATTGGGACCGAAATCACGCCTGTGTCATTTCCATTGTCTTTTCCTGCAGTTCAAGGATCTTAAAGAACTGGTGCGTTCGCTGCGGAATAGTTCGCAGACCAGCAGCAAGGCCCGCCTGAAGGGCCAGAAGACTGAGAAAGAAGTCCTCCTCCAGACGGTGACGGACACCAAAAGGAAAGTGACCATGATTGAGTGGGAGCAGCGGTAGCTGTGCCGGGACCTGGAGCAGGTGAAGGCGCAGGCGGCACAGGCACAGGAGCTGGAGCAGGAGCTGCATTGGCTGCAGGAGGGGATCAAGAAGCTGGCCATGGAGGTCAGTGCCCTGACGACGGCCCCTGAGAGGGTCCATGCCCGCGAGCGGGAAAGCCTGACCTGTTACTGGAGAACCGGAGGCTGCAGACGTCTCTGGACACCCTGCAGCCCGC